CATATTACAGAAATAGAGATGATTTTGATTGGTTTTAGCACTGGAAATGGCTTGAAACTGAGCTCAAAGTAGCAGAAATGTTAAATTTTTGCCGATATTCAAGAGTAAACAAACGACCTCACACGTCTAATACACATCAGCTGGTGGGTCTAATATACATTCACAAATATGGTGATGATATTTATACAGTTATTACATTATTGCATAACAGTAAATCTTCTATTTTTTGGTGTGAATAAAAATTCATTATGTGAATAAAAAATCAAAATGGAATTTATTTGTAAAGCCTCAAAACATAACTAATGAACAGAGGAAATGTTAGTTTAGTGCCAGGAATGCCTACATTGTTCATTCTGGACCCTATTTTGAAATTGGAAATTTTTGAACTTTGTGTTAAATTGGCCAAATTAACAATTTCCGATCACTTTATTTTGTAGTTGAAACAGTTGACTTGGCGATTTCTTGTGCTCAATCGATAGAATAGAAGTAATACTAGTGAAATAGCTAAGAATTTGGTTATTTTTTATTTTATTATCACACTGGCCGATTCCCACCAAGGCAGGGTGGCCCGAAAAAGAAAAACTTTCACCATCATTCACTCCATCACTGTCTTGCCAGAAGGGTGCTTTACACTACAGTTTTTAAACTGCAACATTAACATCCCTCCTTCAGAGTGCAGGCACTGTACTTCCCATCTCCAGGACTCAAGTCCAGCCTGCCGGTTTCCCTGAATCCCTTCATAAATGTTACTTTGCTCACACTCCAACAGCACGTCAAGTATTAAAAACCATTTGTCTCCATTCACTCCTATCAAACACGCTCACGCATGCCTGCTGGAAGTCCAAGCCCCTCGCACACAAAACCTCCTTTACCCCCTCCCTCCAACCCTTCCTAGGCCGACCCCTACCCCGCCTTCCTTCCACTACAGACTGATACACTCTTGAAGTCATTCTGTTTCGCTCCATTATCTCTACATGTCCGAACCACCTCAACAACCCTTCCTCAGCCCTCCGGACAACAGTTTTGGTAATCCCGCACCTCCTCCTAACTTCCAAACTACGAATTCTCTGCATTATATTCACACCACACATTGCCCTCAGACATGACATCTCCACTGCCTCCAGCCTTCTCCTCGCTGCAACATTCATCACCCACGCTTCACACCCATATAAGAGCGTTGGTAAAACTATACTCTCAAACATTCCCCTCTTTGCCTCTAAGGACAAAGTTCTTTGTCTCCACAGACTCCTAAGTGCACCACTCACTCTTTTTCCCTCATCAATTCTATGATTCACCTCATCTTTCATAGACCCATCCGCTGACACGTCCACTCCCAAATATCTGAATACGTTCACCTCCTCCATACTCTCTCCCTCCAATCTGATATTCAATCTTTCATCACCTAATCTTTTTTTATCCTCATAACCTTACTCTTTCCTGTATTCACCTTTAATTTTCTTCTTTTGCACACCCTACCAAATTCATCCACCAATCTCTGCAGCTTCTCTTCAGAATCTCCCAAAAGCACAGTGTCATCAGCAAAGAGCAGCTGTGACAACTCCCACTTTGTGTGTGATTCTTTATCATTTAACTCCACGCCTCTTGCCAAGACCCTCGCATTTACTTCTCTTACAACCCCATCTATAAATATATTAAACAACCACGGTGACATCACACATCCTTGTCTAAGGCCTACTTTTACTGGGAAAAAATTTCCCTCCCTCCTACATACTCTAGCTTGAGCCTCACTATCCTCGTAAAAACTCTTCACTGCTTTCAGTAACCTACCTCCTACACCATACACTTGCAACATCTGCCACATTGCCCCCCTATCCACCCTGTCATACGCCTTTTCCAAATCCATAAATGCCACAAAGACCTCTTTAGCCTTATCTAAATACTGTTCACTTATATGTTTCACTGTAAATACCTGGTCCACACACCCCCTACCTTTCCTAAAGCCTCCTTGTTCATCTGCTATCCTATTCTCCGTCTTACTCTTAATTCTTTCAATTATAACTCTACCATACACTTTACCAGGTACACTCAACAGACTTATCCCCCTATAATTTTTGCACTCTCTTTTATCCCCTTTGCCTTTATACAAAGGAACTATGCATGCTCTCTGCCAATCACTAGGTACCTTACCCTCTTCCATACATTTATTAAATAATTGCACCAACCACTCCAAAACTATATCCCCCACCTGCTTTTAACATTTCTATCTTTATCCCATCAATCCCGGCTGCCTTACCCCCTTTCATTTTACCTACTGCCTCACGAACTTCCCCCACACTCACAACTGGCTCTTCCTCACTCCTACAAGATGTTATTCCTCCTTGCCCTATACACGAAATCACAGCTTCCCTATCTTCATCAACATTTAACAATTCCTCAAAATATTCCCTCCATCTTCCCAATACCTCTAACTCTCCATTTAATAACTCTCCTCTCCTATTTTTAACTGACAAATCCATTTGTTCTCTAGGCTTTCTTAACTTGTTAATCTCACTCCAAAACTTTTTCTTATTTTCAACAAAATTTGTTGATAACATCTCACCCACTCTCTCATTTGCTCTCTTTTTACATTGCTTCACCACTCTCTTAACCTCTCTCTTTTTCTCCATATACTCTTCCCTCCTTGCATCACTTCTACTTTGTATAAACTTCTCATATGCTAACTTTTTCTCCCTTACTACTCTCTTTACATCATCATTCCACCAATCGCTCCTCTTCCCTCCTGCACCCACTTTCCTGTAACCACAAACTTCTGCTGAACACTCTAACACTACATTTTTAAACCTACCCCATACCTCTTCGACCCCATTGCCTATGCTCTCATTAGCCCATCTATCCACCAATAGCTGTTTATATCTTACCCTAACTGCCTCCTCTTTTAGTTTATAAACCTTCACCTCTCTCTTCCCTGATGCTTCTATTCTCCTTGTATCCCATCTACCTTTTACTCTCAGTGTAGCTACAACTAGAAAGTGATCTGATATATCTGTGGCCCCTCTATAAACATGTACATCCTGAAGTCTACTCAACAGTCTTTTATCTACCAATACATAATCCAACAAACTACTGTCATTTCGCCCTACATCATATCGTGTATACTTATTTATCCTCTTTTTCTTAAAATATGTATTACCTATAACTAAACCCCTTTCTATACAAAGTTCAATCAAAGGGCTCCCATTATCATTTACATCTGGCACCCCAAACTTACCTACCACACCCTCTCTAAAAGTTTCTCCTACTTTAGCATTCAGGTCCCCTACCACAATTACTCTCTCACTTGGTTCAAAGGCTCCTATACATTCACTTAACATCTCCCAAAATCTCTCTCTCTCTCCTCTGCATTCCTCTCTTCTCCAGGTGCATACACGCTTATTATGACCCACTTCTCGCATCCAACCTTTACTTTAATCCACATAATTCTTGAATTTACACATTCATATTCTCTTTTCTCCTTCCATAACTGATCATTTAACATTACTGCTACCCCTTCCTTTGCTCTAACTCTCTCAGATACTCCAGATTTAATCCCATTTATTTCCCCCCACTGAAACTCTCGTACCCCCTTTAGCTTTGTTTCGCTTAGAGCCAGGACATCCAACTTCTTTTCATTCATAACATCAGCAGTCATCTGTTTCTTGTCATCCGCACTACATCCATGCACATTTAAGCATCCCAGTTTTATAAAGTTTTTCTTCTTCTCTTTTTTAGTAAATGTATACAGGAGAAGGGGTTACTAGCCCATTGCTCCCGGCATTTTAGTCGCCTCATACGACACGCATGGCTTACGGAGGAAAGATTCTTTTCCACTTCCCCATGGACAATAGAAGAAATAAAAAGAACAAGAGCTATTTAGAAAAAGGAGAAAAACCTAGATCTTTCTTTCTTTCAACACACCGGCCGTATCCCACCGAGGCAGGGTGGCCCAAAAGGAAAAACAAAAGTTTCTCCTTTCAAATTTAGTAATATATACAGGAGAAGGAGTTACTAGCCCCTTGCTCCCGGCATTTCAGTCGCCTCTTACGACACGCATGGCTTACGGAGGAAGAATTCTGTTCCACTTCCCCATGGAGATAAGAGGAAATAAACAAGAACAAGAACTAGAAAGAAAATAGCAGAAAACCCAGAGGGGTGTGTATATATATATGCTTGTGTATGTGTAGTGTGACCTAAATGTAAGTAGAAGTAGCAAAACGTACCTGAAATCTTGCATGTTTATGAGACAGACAAAAGACACCAGCAATCCTACCATCATGTAAAACAATTACAGGCTTTCGTTTTACACTCACTTGGCAGAACGGTAGTACCTCCCTGGGTGGTTGCTGTCTACCAACCTACTACCTAGGAAAAACCTAGATGTATGTATATATATATATGCATGTGCGTGTCTGTGAAGTGTGACCAAAGTGTAAGTAGGAGTAGCAAGATATCCCTGTTATCTAGCGTGTTTATGAGACAGAAAAAGAAACCAGCAATCCTACCATCATGCAAAACAGTTACAGGTTTTTGTTTCACAGTCATCTGGCAGGACGGTAGTACTTCCCTGGGTGGTTGCTGTCTACCAGCCTACTACCTTTGGTTGACTGGAATAATGTAATTGGCCTAAAATGGGAGTCAAAGTCGGCAAAATCGCCGATTCGTAAATATCACTGACACATCAAAATTCGCGAGAGCATAATTTCGTCAATTTTCCACCAAATTTCGTACTTTTTGTTTTATTACCTTCACAAAAAGATTCTCTACGATTTCATAAGAAAAAATAACAAATTTTTTTTTTGAAAATTCTTGGACACTGGTGCGTGACTCCAGATTTGGGCCTTGGACCCTGAAAGGGTTAATTATCATTGTTACATTTAAATTAACGTAATTTATGCCCAAATACCTTTTGTTACTTGCTACATCAAATTCAGTAAAAGTAATATTTAAGCCCATGTTAATTATGTATATTCATGTTTAATAATTCTATTTATATATATTCACAGTAGTGGCGATATATGTTGGTGTGAGAAGGAGACAGTTGGAGATAGAAGCTGAGTGACGAGTGTGTAGTGTGTTGTGTGGGCGATGCTAGTTACTGAGTGGCGGAACGCAGTCCTGCCGGAGGGCCTCCCCCTCTCTACTCACCTAAGTTACTGCACTCAAGCTTTCTCATACGCAGATGTCCATACTGCCTAGCATTCCACTATCACTACTTAAGAGTGGAATGCCGTCTCCTGTCTATCGCACAAGACTACTATTCTAATATATAGTCTCCACTACTACGATCGAGCCTCTACGTGTCATGCTTGACTACGGTATTCTGTCTCCACATTGATGTACATAACCCAGGGTATGCAGAGATATGATACTGTGTACTGCCCTAGTACGAGGGGCATAACTTATAGTGAAATAGACACTGTATTTTGTAAGAAGTGCTTGGCACTAGTGACTCTGACTTTTTTATATTAAATTGTGTTATTAAAGTGACATGAGTTATCACAGTAATAATGTGAAAGACACTAACGCAACTCCTAGTGCGACTGTCGTGCTGGGGGAGTATTGCGACCCCTGAATGGGTCACAATGTATATAATGTATATTACCTGTTCATATCATTTTATATTGCTTACATTTGCGATATTAGCTAAATCGTAAATATATTGCTTTATATTATTATTTGACTTAGTTATATTATTATTAGGTAGGATGTAACATTTATATATTATTCTGTGCTCATAGTTCGAGTGTTAAGTAGCTGACAGCATTGTCTAACTATCGCTCTGCTTGTTTCCCTGCCAGCTTCTCTGTAGTTGCTGGGCAGCAGCAGTCCACGGAGAGTCACATGATCAGGGTGGGGTGATCACACCTCACCAGGAGCGAGTGTCTGCCTGGCCTGTGCTTTCTTGTCAGTTTGACATGCCTTCCAACAACACGACCTCTCCAGCTCTCCATTACAGGCCCTTGTTGGAAGATTGTCTGTCACTTTCTTGTTGGTTCTGTGTAACTCTGTTCATAGAACATAGCTGACTTAGTGATTTTCGATGTTTGTACTGAGGTTGTGTGTCGCATAGACACTCTGAGAAACTCAGGTCCTGAGCTGTAGCTTCTGACCTAATTTGTACTGGTATCTGTGTACTGTCACAGTTGGGGATTTTCTAATGCTGAACTTAGATTCAGTAGTATGGGAGTTTCGTGACTTTTGTGGAGGATCTGCAGATGGACCCTACTTAGTGTCATTATATTATCTCCTTGTTCCTGATTCTGTGTCGCTGTTGCTTGTTATATTGCTGTTCGGTTTAACAATCGCTTTATTGTTCAAGCAAGCTGTTCTGATTGCCAGGTTGGTCAAGAAGTTAGTTTATATGAGGACTTTTAGTCAGTTACTGGTTAAGTCTAGTCGAGTCTTGAGACAGCGCACTACTTAGAGCACTTACACACATACACACTTGTATATATTTCTATTATGTTATTAAATGCTAACAGTGTACCAGACGGTACTTAAAGCCATAAAGATGTGATATGTGCTTTCAGCACAATACTACTGTACACGAGAGAAGTGTAGGAACTTCTATCCTATATTATATTCAATTGATTACTATAATTTACTATGATTTTATATGCCTAGACAACTTTGTTATTAATTAACTTACTAAATTTTAATTTCTTTAGTTAGTAGCCTACCAGTTGTGATCCTGAAGCACTATTGAATCTTATTAAATTCTAATGGATAATTGGACCAGGATACTGACTACTTGTTACAAAAACCCAGTAACAGGCTGGATGCTAGAAGGGCAGTCCTTTATAGTATTCACTGGAGATCTCTATCCTTATTAGAAATTGCATTTTTTTGTAACACGTATGTTGATTTTGTTTAAATAAGGCTAAGTATAGCTTTAGCCTAAAAGTGAGGTTTCTGTTGTAGCTCAGCTCAGCAGTGTGTAAACTGTAAAAACTGTAATGTACTTTAAAGAAAAAGAGACCACAATTAATCTTTAAGTTATTGTGAAAAATTAAAATATTTTTCCACCAGTTTCGGTAACTCACATGTGAAAATATTTAGAGGAAAATGTACAGAAATACATAATTATGGGCATGCACATAATGCTTACTCTTTATTTTGCATATTTTGATAAATATGTGGAGCAATAATTGGGAATATTCTTTCAGGTTCTACAGATCTACCCAAAGAAGGGGACTAACATTTTTCCTAAGAGGCGATTATGTGAGGTTGAGTCTGGATCAGGTGAACGTGTTATTATTAAAGCCAAGCACTCTGGTGTTGTTACACAGGTACTCGTCAAAGTTAACGACACAATTGGAGATGGGTACGTGTATAATTTTTGTCACTATCAGTGCATAGTTGTGCCTCCAGTATTAATAGTATCATAAGGGAACCCTTTTTGTGAATTTTGTTTAAATATTTTGATGACAATTTTTTTTATTTTTTTTTATTAACACATCAGCCGATTCCCACCAAGGCAGGGTGGCCTGAAAAAGAAAAACTTTCATCATCATTAATTCCATCACTGTCTTGCCAGAGGCATGCTTACACTACAGTTATAAAACTGCAGCATTAACACCCCTCCTTCAGAGTGCAGACACTGTACTTCCTATCTCCAGTACTCGAGTCTGGCCTGCCGGTTTCCCTGAATCTCTTCGTAAATGTTACTTTGCTCGCACTCCAACAGCACGTCAAGTATTAAGAAACATTTGTCTCCATTCACTCCTATTCACTCCAGTCACACATGCTTGCTGGAAGTCCGAGCCCCTTGCACACAAATCCTTCTTTACCCCCTCCTTCCAACCTTGCCTAGGCTGAACCCCCTACCCTGCCTTCCCTCCACTGCAGAGTTATACACTCAGTCATTGTATTTCATTCCTCCTCTCTACATGTCCGAACCACCTCAACAACCCCTCCTCAGTCCTCTGGGAGGTAGGCAGCAGTCACCTATGACAATATTACTGTCCAGTCATGTGTGTGTAAGACAGAAACCTGTTAAATATTGTGGGCTGTCAAAATTGCACTCTTAAGGCTCAGTCTCACTGAGAGATTGAGCCATGGGAGTGATGATTCCTGAAACCATTACCAGATATATCTGCAAGTTAAAATAGAAATGTGTTAGGATAAATTTGTGTACCATGTATCTAGTTACAAACACCAGACTAAATGTTCCCAGCTGAGCCAGTTTTATTCAAGGGTGTTCATATCTTGACATGCTATATGCAGTTTAAATCATGCATTGGATTCCCTGGTCTGCTGTATTTTGATTAAATTGTCTTTTAGATGTTTTGTATTAAGAATTTAGTCTGTTGCATGTTAACCCTTTCGGTATGGGTCCCATAGTTCTATGGACAATAAGGGAGCACTGTATCAACATTCATGCCCCCAGATTATTCAGCATCTTGCCAGAAGATATCAGAAACACGGCTGGAACAAGTGTAGAATCTTCAAGAGAAAACTGGACAAGTGTCTTCACTAGGTACCAAATCAACCAGGCTCTGATGGATGTGTGGGACAGTAGGTCTCCAGCAGTAACAGCCTGGTTGACTAGGCAAGCACCAGATGAGCCTGGCCATGGCCAGGCTATGAGAGTAGTAAGACTCGAAACTCATCAAAGGTATACTATATCAAAGGCTTTGAAATGCAGGTAGGTCTTGGTGTTCGACTTCGTGAGCTCAGCTCACTTAGACAAGCTGTGAGCGGTAAATTTAGGCCTAGATGTGAGATATATCTGATATATCTGTGGAGGAGTATGGAAGAAGTGAATGTTTTCAGATACTTGGGAGTTGACGTGTCGGCGGATGGATTTATGAAGGACGAGGTTAATCATAGAATTGATGAAGGAAAAAAGGCGAGTGGTGCATTGAGGTATATGTGGAATCAAAAAACGTTATCTATGGAGGCAAAGAAGGGAATGTATGAGTGTATAGTAGTACCAACACTCTTATATGGGTGTGAAGCTTGGGTTGTGAATGCAGCAGCGAGGAGGCGGTTGGAGGCAGTGGAGATGTCCTGTCTAAGGGCAATGTGTGGTGTAAATATTATGCAGAAAATTCGGAGTGTGGAAATTAGGAGGTGTGGAGTTAATAAAAGTATTAGTCAGAGGGCTGAAGAGGGGCTGTTGAGGTGGTTTGGTCATTTAGAGAGAATGGATCAAAGTAGAATGACATGGAGAGCATTTAAATCTGTAGGAGAAGGAAGGCGGAGTAGGGGTCGTCCTCGAAAAGATTGGAAGGAAGGGGTAAGGGAGGTTTTGTGGGCAAGGGGCTTTGACTTCCAGCAGGCATGCATGAGCGTGTTAGATAGGAGTGAATGGAGACGAATGGTATTTGGGACCTGACGATCTGTTGGAGTGTGAGCAGAGTAATATTTAGTGAAGGGATTCAGGGAAAACGGTTATTTTTATATGGCCGGACTTGAGTCCTGGAAATGGGAAGTACAGTACAATGCCTGCACTCTAAAGGAGGGATTTTGGGATATTAGCAGTTTGGAGGGATATGTTGTGTATCTTAATACTTATATGCTTCTAAACTGTTGTTCTGAGCACCTCTGCAAAAACATTGATTATGTGTGAGTGAGGTGAAAGTGTTAAATGATAATGAAAGTATTTTCTTTTTGGGGATTTTCTTTCTTTTTGGGTCACCGTGGTTGTTTAATATATTTATAGATGGGGTTGTAAGAGAAGTAAATGCGAGGGTCTTGGCAAGAGGCGTGGAGTTTAAAGATAAAGAATCACACACAAAGTGGGAGTTGTCACAGCTGCTCTTTGCTGATGACACTGTGCTCTTGGGAGATTCTGAAGAGAAGTTGCAGAGATTGGTGGATGAATTTGGTAGGGTGTGCAAAAGAAGAAAATTAAAGGTGAATACAGGAAAGAGTAAGGTTATGAGGATAACAAAAAGATTAGGTGATGAAAGACTGAATATCAGATTGAAGGGAGAGTGTATGGAGGAGGTGAACATATTCAGATATTTGGGAGTGGACGTGTCAGCGGATGGGTCTATGAAAGATGAGGTGAATCATAGAATTGATGAGGGAAAAAGAGTGAGTGGTGCACTTCGGAGTCTGTGGAGACAAAGAACTTTGTCCTTGGAGGCAAAGAGGGGAATGTATGAGAGTATAGTTTTACCAACGCTCTTATATGGGTGTGAAGCGTGGGTGATGAATGTTGCAGCGAGGAGAAGGCTGGAAGGCAGTGGAGATGTCATGTCTGAGGGCAATGTGTGGTGTGAACATAATGCAGAGAATTCGTAGTTTTGGAAGTTAGGAGGAGGTGCGGGATTACCAAAACTGTTGTCCAGAGGGCTGAGGAAGGGTTGTTGAGGTGGTTCGGACATGTAGAGAGAATGGAGCGAAACAGAATGACTTCAAGAGTGTATCGTCGTGTGGAAGGAAGGGGGGGGGGTTCGGCAGGAAATTTGGGAGGGAGGGGTAAAGGAGGTTTTGTGTGCGGGGGGCTTGGACCCCAGCGCATTTGACCCGTGTTGATGGATGAATGGAGAAAAATGGTTTTTAATATTGAGTGCTGTTGGAGTGTGAGCAAAGTAACATTTATGAAGGGATTGGGGGAAAAACCCGGGGCAGGCCCGGACTTGAGCCCTGGAGAGGGGAAGTACATCCCTGCACTCTAAAGGGAGGGGTGTTAAGTTGATTTTAAAAAAACTGTAGTGTAAGCCCCCTCGGCAAGACTGATGGAGTGAATTGGGGGAAAGTTTTTCTTTTTCGGGCCACCCTCCCTTGGTGGGAATGGGGCCGGTGGATAAAAAAAAAAAAAAAAAAAAAAAAAAAAAAAAAATCTATAATATATATATTTTAAAGTGGACCCTGACCAACAAGGGGCATCCCTAACGTTAAATTGACTGCGAAACTTTTAACGCAAAAATTTTTCCCTCGACTAGCACAAAAAAAACTTGACCAACCGATTCTTTCCCGTCTGGCCCGCCCATTTTGGGCCCATTTTACAACCCACCCCCACCGCGGCCCCACCCAAACTACAGTCAAAAATTTATATTATCCAGCATTTTTTAGTGATTGCATCGCAAAATAAGTCACCATGGGCCCAAGAAAGCTTCTAGTGCCAACCTACAGCAAAAAGGGTGAAATTTATTTTGGATAAAAGAAAGAGTCATTGCTAAGTATAAAAGGGGGAGTTGTGTCCCCGAGCTGGCCAGGTTTACACAAAACCCCAAAAACCATCGCTACATTGGGGCCAAGAAAATGGCAAAAAGGGAAAGCTGTTTTTCCCAAAGGGGTTAAACTATTTTTTCGAAACTGAGTCGCAAGTGATAGAAAATTTTGAGATGTTATTGGTGTGGAAAAATAAAAACAGATACCAGAGATAGATCTCTCAAGCGATCAATGTAAAAGGCTGGGAGTTGCAGGGGAATTTTAATTAAAAAAAATGCCTGCAACTGTGTGATGTGGTGAATTTAAAGGCAAAAAGGTTGGTTTGAGGAATTTAAAAATCTTTTTGACTACATAGGTGATGAGGAGGGGGAGGCTGCCGTTTTGGCCCAAAAAAAGCAGCTAAAAAATATGTCGGGAAATTTTCAAGGAGTACAAAGACAGTGAAGAATTGAAACCAAACAAATTTTTAAATTTCAAAATTTAAAATGTTGTGAAACTTTTTGGAATGTCAAAAAAGGAACGGGAGGTACAGCCTTAGGGACGATATGTTGGGACAGGGTCCGTGACCAAGCGGGTCCTAGTGGCATTAAAAAGAAGGGAAGAAACCCCCGGAAAAAGGATTGACACCTCAACCCAAAGGGAAAGGGGGGTTCCCCTTCAAAAACACTAACCCCATCCACAGTCTCCCCTCCTCCACCCCCATCAGTCATCACCAATCTTCAATGAAGGAAAGTGTCATGTAATTGTACATGTTTTTTCTTCAGTTTGTGTTATTAAAATTTTTTTCATAGGTAAATTTTTTTTTTTTTCAAAACTTTTGGGTGTCTTGTATGATTAATTTTTTTCCATTTTTTTTCTTTTGGGGAAAATTAACTCGATAACGATAATTTTTAAATTTAAGATAGCTTCAGGAAGGATTAATATCGTTTTATCGAGGGGCCACTGTTATTAACATAGCAATAAATTAATATTTAATATATATATATAATTTTATTAAAAATTTAAAATATATATATAATTTTTATATATAAATATATATATATTATATTATATATATTTTATTGGGATTTGGGGGGAATGTTGTGATTTTATATGTGTATGCTTCTGCTGTTGTATTCTGAACCTCTGCAAAAAAAGGATAATTTCAAGTTGGGGAAAATGTTGAATGAGATGAAAGTATTTTTTTTTTTGGGGTTT